ATCTATAAGAAACAGTAAAAATATCCTATGCAGTTTTTTGGTTGCAGACCTGTGTTGTTTGACCAAACTTATTTTGTCCTTTTTTCTCGGCGTACATTCAGGGTCTCGGTTGAAGGCGAAATGTCAACGCCAAGGGTAATACAAGCAGGGGTGCCACAAGGTTCTGTTCTTTCCCCTACCCTTTTCAACTTGTACATAAATGATGCCCCCCAAACTCATAGTGTTCACCTGGCCCTCTTTGCGGACGACACCTGTCTATATGCGACAGATCGCAAGGAGGGTTTCATTGTTAGAAAACTCCAGTGCGGTCTCAGCTCAATGGAGACCTGGTGTGAGCGCTGGAATATAAAAATTAATGAAGATAAGACTCAGGGGGTATACTTCTCTCGTGGGTATCGACCGCCTGAGTCTTGTCTTACTCTTAATGGACGAAATATTCCATTTTTAAATAGTGCAAAATATCTAGGTGTAATCTTTGATAAGAGAGTTTTATGGAGATTACACATAGAAATAATCGAAGCGAAGGCCTTCAGAACATTCATTAGAGTATATTCCCAATTCAAAAGTGAGCGATTGAGCGCTAACTATAAACCGACCCTCCATAAAGCTCCTATTAGATCCGTAATGACTTATGCTAGTCCCGCCTTGGAGTTTGCGGCAGACGCCCATCTAGTGAAATTGCAGCGCCTGAAAACAAGGTTCTCCGCACCATTGGAAATTTTCCAAGGCGCACCCCGTACGTATATGACTTTATAACAAAATTGTGCAGGCAACAAGCAGAAGTCAAACAAAATCATGAAAATGAGAATGTTCGCATTATTGGTCAAGGTTAAGCCCAACACAGAAAGTATAAGAGGCTTAAACTTGGTGGTGGTCAGGCATACGACCGTTCAAGTGACTAGACTGTCATGGTAGCAAATAATACAAGAAATAGGGCATAATCTGCTGTACAAAGCCTGGACTGACAGAGGCCTTGTAATTATTGTACATAAAAATAGGTATTAAGACTAGAATTAAAAATTATATAAATTATTATATTATATAAATACGTGTATGTATCAATACTGAGAATGGACTGACTAAGACTGACAAATGACACACCCGACCTCTCATGAGAGAGGGTGCCCCAAATGGACAAGACACTAACTAACACTAACTGCTTAAGCAAGCCTACGGGGAGTCTGCTCTATCATATGTGCAAGTTACAANACTCCACGAGCAGTTGTCTTCCAGCAACCACACTCTGCGACCAGGCAACTTCCGGCAACTGCCACACTGCAACCAGGCAACCTCCGGCAACTGCCTCTCTGCGACCAGACAACTAACTCAGCTGCCGCAGCATTAGCCAACACACCGTAGCCAACATCTATTTCTACCGGCGCACGCAGCCCTACATCACCGATCTTTCAGACAGGCCTGCTATCAAGGAACAACCGGCCCATTTCAGGGCCCACAAACTTTCCGAAGTGGTTGTCTATTGGAGTATCGACAAATCCCACAACTTAATTTAATTTGGGACTCGTTAGTTACATGCATGTCATTAGTGACATTAGTGACAGAATAAGGGTCTATAATTTTGTCTAAAAGAAAACTAGTGATAATTACCTAGTGTTACATTCAACTGAGCCGACACTATTGGTGAAAAATTGAAAAATAAAATCTTGTAAGAGTTTATGACAGCAACTTTCTTTCAAATGCTGCAGTCTGTACAGTGAGGCTAGTAAGAATTTTAAATTAAAACTTGGCAGTATTTAAGTTTTCCATTTCTATGCTTACAGTGTCCACAAATACAGATTCCAGCTTCCTTAAATTCATCAGATGTAACCAAAGTTTTCCCCTGTCACTTTGTTTGTGACTGTTAGCTTGTTAGAAAGTGTCATGTTGAATTTGTTGTTATACTTAAGACTTGGTGCAATACAAATCTTAACATACGAAGCTTCAGTAGTTCACAGCTATCCTAAAACTGAGATGTAAATTTGTATTTCATTCACCTGTCATTCTGTTGTTTTAAATTCTGCAAAACCATTGCTTGAATAAAAGTTTTATATTTTTTAAAATCTGTTACCACACAGATTATCAGACATCTCTAATGTGCATGAATAGGTGACATACAAATATTTCATAACAAAATAATTTATTGTTCATATAATAGAAAATATATAACTTAGGAAGTTCCCCAGCACTTGTTCTATATGACCATTTTGTCAAAAAACTTCTAGAAGTCAAACACATATTTGTGATGACCCAGCAATGCACATCTTCATCAGTCTCCTTGCACAACTAGATAATTATTGCTCTCATTTCCATAACATTACAAGGTTTCATTTGGAAAATCTTTTCCTTCAGGAACCCCAACAAAAAATAATCACAGGAGTTAAGCCTGGTCTATGAATGTATGGGAATGTATAAGGGGTGGACCTTCTTGGCCCTTGCACCATGACTACAGTGTTCTATTGTGCCTTAAGCCTGCGCTAAGTGATAGCCAAAAATATCCAAAATTGTGACATACTGGTTAATGGTGTGACATGACACAAGGGCCGAAAATGTTCTTTAGAAGATCCAACATGATATTAACATGTAAGATTTGAGGCTTTCACGGCAGTGACTATGAAGAAAGCAGTCTTCTGGGCTTTGGCGCCGTGTATATGTGGTGTTAACCGACGTTTCGGAGGAACGTATCGCCCCCATCTTTACGCTTTACGCTTCGCTGATGACGTAAGAGCCAGGCACTGCAAGAAGTTTCAACGGTTGCATGAGGCCCAGCACCCACCCGGCCCACCTGACAGCAAGAAGACAGTGGTCAACTTGAGTGGTGTGCCATTGGATGAAGCGGCCTTCTCGGCCCTGAGCAAAGGCCTCAACTTTGCTGTGGCTCCGAAGTCCGTTCCCGTCAAGGATATCCTGTGCGGGGTGGAGAAAGTGATAGTGGCCCTGCCTGTAGAGACTGCGGAGGAGATCCGACAGGAGACGGTCAGGATTCTTAAGAACCCCCGCAAGCCAAATGACAATCTGACTGGTGCCGAGAGAAGAGCCCTTCGGTCCTTAAAAGCCAATGAGGCGCTCACCGTCCTTCCGGCTGACAAGGGTAATGCGGCAGTGGTACTGGATACGTCCGACTACAACCGGAAGATCGCCGCTGTCTTGGAGGATAAGGCTTACAGGAAGTTGAAGAAGGATCCTACTGATGCCATAGAGCGGAAGACTGTCCTTCTTCTGAAAAAGTCCCCGTTTGCTGAGGAGGTCTGCCAACAGCTACGACCTCAAGGGTCCAGGCCACCTAGACTCTACGGGTTGCCGAAAATCCACAAGCTTGACGTTCCACTAAGGCCCATTGTGAGCACCATTGGCTCTCCCACCTATCGCCTGGCCAAACACTTGGCTGGCCTACTGAGGACATACACTGGCAACGGTCCACGCCACGTGAGGAACTCCATGGAATTTGTCCACACATTGGACTCTCTCCATGTTGATCCCCACGACATAATGGTCAGTTTCGATGTAGTGTCACTCTTCACCAGGGTGCCTATAAAAGATACGATGGATCTGCTAGGACGACATTTCGAAGAAAACATCTTGAGACTCTTCCGCCATGTCCTGACCACCTCATACTTCACCTTCAACGGCCAGTTCTATGAACAAACCGATGGCGTGGCGATGGGCTCGCCACTCTCTCCGGTCATCTCTAACCTCTATATGGAGGACTTCGAGGAGAGGGCACTTGACTTGGCCCCACACAAGCCCCGCTGCTGGTTTCGCTACGTGGACGACACCTTCGTCATCTGGTCACACGGTCCCGACAAGCTCCAGGACTTCCTGAACCACATAAATAGTATCAACCAGTGCATCCAGTTCACAATGGAAACTGAAACTGAAGGCCACCTCCCCTTCCTGGATATAGATATTTACAGGAGACCCGACGGTTCCCTGGGCCATAGAGTGTACCGCAAATCCACCCATACTAACCTGTACCTTAACGCTGCGTCCCACCACCACCCTTCCAACAAGCAAGCTGCACTTTCTACATTGGTGCACAGGGCCAGAGCACTGTGTGATCAAGACAGCCTACATGCGGAGTTGGTGCTCCTGAAGGATGTATTCAAGAAGAACGGATACAACAACCGGCAGATCTACAGAGTTCTCAACCGTCGGCCCAACATCAGCCGGCCTGAAGACAAACCGGGCTCAGTCGCCTTCCTTCCCTATGTCGGGACCATATTCAACCGTATCAGCAGAGTGCTGTCCCGGCACAACATCAAAGCAGTGGGTCTGCCTCCATACAAATTATCCAATTTCCTCCGGCCGGTTAAAGACAGCCTGGGCCTAAGGACACCGGGTGTATACAGTATCCCATGCGAGTGCGGGAAAGTCTATATTGGGCAGACAGGCCGCTCCGTGGACACGAGGTTGAAGGAGCATCAGCGGCACATCCGTCTCGAACATCCGGACAAGTCGGCCGTAGCTGAACACAGCATCGAACTGGGACACCGCATTCAGCTTCAGAATACCTCCATCCTCGCCACCAAGACGCGCTATATGGATCGCATCATTAGGGAAGCCATCGAGATCGAACTGCATCCAGGGAATATGAACAGAGAGGATGGTTTTCGTCTCAGCAAGTCTTGGAAACCTCTTATCTGTTCTCTTAAAAACCCCCCACCGGGATATGACGCTAGATCCAGGAAGCCACAAGGCCATGACCAACCAACATAACAACCCCCCCCCCTCAGCACACAGTTAAAGCCCAGCCAGTTAACCTTGCTATATTCTCCCCTACACAAATCACGCTGGTCCCGGCTCCCTTCCCCCACCCCTCCCACACCACTGCTTTCACTTGTTTACTCGCAGTTCATCCCCTTCCCTCTCTGCTCTAACGGTATCCTCTTCAGTCTGCGTTACCGTGTCTCACGGTGTTGTCGCTTGCAGATTTACCTATACTTTTTCTTCAACCCTGAAGATGGGGGCGATACGTTCCTCCGAAACGTCGGTTAACACCACATATACACGGCGCCAAAGCCCAGAAGACTGCTTTCTTCATGATATTAACAGTGTGTGGCGTGGCACTGTCCTGCATAAACCATTGAGTACCATTAGGCTCTTTATTTGCTATAAGTTTGGGTACGAAGTCTGTCTGGAACATAACGCAAATATTGCTGAGAATTTACAGTTTAATTGAAAATTGGTTCTATTAACCCTGAACTGGAAATGAGTATCCAAAAGGTTACTTCCTTTCCATTGCTACTCCTTGCACAACAGTTGTGTGGATGTTCTCTTGCCCAAAAGCACATATTCTGTTTATTTAGAGTCCTATCCAAATGGAAATAGACCTCATCAGAAAACCATATATTATTAAATGTTGCATTTTTCTCTTCTGTCTTTCTTTCCTTGTCATGTTCAAAAAGTGTGTGCAGTACAGAAATTTTGAATAGGAACAATTTCAGATCACTGGAGAATTTTTTGAATTGAACATAATATTCCCAACTCACGTGTTGCCTTCCATGTTGATCTCCGTAGACTACCCTGCATGGCTACCTGAAGTGCTTCTCTGTAGTCTGGCAAACACATGGCCAGTGCCCGAGATCATTTTTGTTCCTTCACACTGCCTTCCTCTTCAAAATTAGGGTATTTCTGAAAAATAGAATTTCATGCAGGTGCCCAGTGAATGTCAAAAACAGTTCAGAATCATCTCTTGGTGACAGTAGCACTTCTCTGCAAAAAAAAAAGAAGAAGAAGACAACTTTGTCCCTCTGTTCAGTCAGCACACGGTTGTGATCTGCCATTGCAATTAACTGACTGACCCCCAGTAACAATACTGTATTCAGTTTTCTGGTAACCTCTAACGGGATTTTGACGAACTAATCCAGAGTTGTGCAAAATTGGAATGACATACTTTGAATGAGTCCCTTTTAATTGATTTTACAAATGTGTCAACTATTCATGTGCCCTGTACAAGATCTCCAGTTACATGATATTCATACCAAGATTGAGGAGTGTGTATCATTTAGTTCAGCAGTCAGATAGACACATGGACATGATTCCAAAAGGCTATTTTTCCTTGTAACATGATAAGTGCAACATGTTTTCAGAATAATACAGTCTGTTCATAACATGCGGACTAAACTGGCTGTTTCTGCATCACAAGTAACCAAGCTCCATCTGTTTGAGAACAATTTAATACTTGCATGATTATTGGTCATGTATTGCAATATCATACAGGTGTATGCTTAAGTTGAGCCCACTGATCACTGTGTATTTTCTGTGTGAATAAGATTATCACTGCTGAAATCTGCCCACCAACCACACAGTGCTGGGAGATTGATTCTTAGGCAGTAATGGTTTTAAAGAAACAGACTCTGGTGTAATGCCAACATAAAATCAAAAAATTTGAACTGTTCAGAAAAACTGACATCTGCTGTGGAAGAAAGCACAATTCTGGCCAAGCACAATGAAGCTTTAGGATATAAACTTGATATAGAATGGGCAAACATGCACATCTTTGATAACAATGGAAATGTGTCTTCCTTTATTTCTGGATCACATAGGTGTCAGTTCTTGTATCTCTGTATGTTTGTATCGCATAGTACTTAAATGCATAATGGCAAGATGTCTGCTTATCCAGCTGGAGGTTTCAACTTCCAAACTATTCCATACAGTTGAATGAAACATTATATGGAGGGTCTGCATTAAACGTTTTCAGTTTTATTTTATTTTTCCCTGTAAAATTTGGCTGTAACTACTACTGATGGTCAAATCACATTTTATAAAATTTCTCAGAAATAACCCATGTAAATATTTTGCATAAAATATTGTGACATGTTGCGCAACGAAGGACCCCTACCTCTCCAGTGGCACGTGGCGGTAACGTAGTGCTCGCGTAATAGGCGAGTCATCACCCCGCCACTCTCCCCGCGGTGACGTCACGAGCGGAGGCAAAGTGAGCCGAGCGGAGCCAAAGTTAGTCGAGCCCCCGCAACCTGGTAGCTATGCAACGCGAGTCAACAGCGGTGACGCAACAGGCAAGCACTGCGGCTATATAAGTGAGCTGCACAGCGGCTGCGAGTTAGTTGTACTGTGGCAGTCGCAGAGATCAGTAGTAGTCGAGCGAGAGTGTGTTATCAACAGTTCTCAAGGTAGCAGCCTGCGAGTGTGCGATAACTAAGAAGTCAGCGAGCGGAAGACTTATTGTGTGCTTTCGAGACTTAGTGAGTGCTGTAGTACAGTTATATTTGGAGTGTGTAATTCAGGGAAATTTGTATAGCTCCCGCGTTATTAGTACGTGAAGACTTTGGTTGTAGGGTTGTAAAGTATGGAAACCCGCAACTGTGTGATAAGTAATTGTAGCCATTACTTGTAGATTGTTCAACAAACCAATTAACGATCTCTACGGCGTATTCAGTAACGAAACACGTTACAATATATATATGACTACAAGATTTATAATTTTTTAAGCGTATGTGGTGTCATGCCAGTCTAGAAAACCGAAATTAACGGCCATGGGGATGACTTACACTGACCACACGACACCCTCTATCCACAAAAGCTGGCACTAAACTTCACCAACAAGCAGTGGTCGCTTGGTCAGTGTAGTTCGCTTGTGGACTAAAATTACGGAGTATGTGGTGTCATGTAGTCTAGTAGATACTTACAGATATTTGAGAGAAATGTGTTGGATACTTACAGATATTTTGGAGAAGTGTGTTGCCTCAGTCTTCACAGTAGCACTCTCCCATCCTAAAAGTAGAGCAGAACTTTCCTCCAAAACAGCGGTAAACATCTAACGAACTGTAATATTACATCCCAAAAAACAGATATCTTCATAGTCACCCTTGGAAGAACCTCAAAAGCCTCACACACATATAAATTTTATTTTAAACATTCTTTTGAATATGGTGAATTTGAACAAGAAAAATAATGTGCAATGTAATATCACAGTTGTTAACTCTGTTAGCACTGGAGAAAATACTGTTACATGCAATTACGTAATATTGTGGTGCTCATTGGCTCCATCAGTGATGCAAAATAAGTAGACTTCAAGTCCAGTCACAAAGTATGCATATGGAAACTGTGTACTGAATATTGGAGCACACCTCCAAGCCTTCTTTCTAACACTGGTGACTCTTCTGGCTGTAATCTGCAGAAAGTTAGCTTTTCCTACTGAGAAGGGAAAAATGGCACATATATTAGCATGAAGGTTCATGTTTGAGATTCATAGAATGTGGCTATGAAGACTGGTTGTCATCAATGTTCTGATTCTCTGTCCTAAAGAGTTATTGGCATTAACTCCTCTCTTAATTTTATACAGCCTGGTAATCTGATTGTTTGGTTGTTGGAATATTAAATGGCACATTTTCAGTTGCATCAGTTATAAATCGCAGGATGACTTTGAATGATGAATTAGAAATGGCAAGGAAGGAAGCAGCAGACTCTTTTAAGATACTCTTCTGCCATTTGCCTGGAGTGACTGAGTGAAACCATAAAAATCTGAGTCTGAATAGCTGATCCCCAAACAGAGGTTTGAAATGAAGGCCTCCCATTTACAAAGAAAATCTGTTATCCTCTCAACCTCAACATTTGATACAGTATCAGTCACATGTTTATTCTTTATTCACAGGTATACATCATTGTTACAGTAACATTCACTGATAAAGAAGGATGAAGCAGAATGGAAAAGTGGAAGATGGTAGCAACATATCAGTGACAAGAATTAAACCTCTAGATGAAGATAACCTGAGCTTACATAAAAAGGATCCATTAGAAGTGTAAGTATATTCAAATGAAGCAGGAGCCAGGGGAGTGCAGTCAGTATAGCTACTGGCTATGGGCTGGACAACAAAAGAAATTGGATTTCAAGTCCCAGTAGGGTCAAGAATTTTCTCTTCTCCACATCGTCCACACCAGCTCTGGGGTCCGGTCAGCCTCCTATCCATTGATTACCAAGGGCTTCTTACCTGACGGTAAAGTGTCCGAGGTGTGAAGCTGAACGCTCACCAACTATTGCAAAGTCAGGAAAACATACATCCACTTTTCCATACACCTTCATAGCATAGTGCTTAATTAGTTAAACACAGGGGCAACGTTACGTTTTTACTGTCTGTTAATGCTCCTCATACAATGGGAATTGCAGATGATATCATAATATGCCACATTATCATGCGATTCATGGCACTGTTAATTCAGGTACAATTCACAGGCAAAGACATACTGTGAATATGGCATAACATTCTTGCAGTGGAATTTCCATTTAAACAAAAAGTACATTTAAGACAGAGGATTGTTCCAGGTTTCCTAATTATACAGCAGCAGTGGAAGTGCATCAGGTGTAGTTGTTAGTACTCCTGCTCTGGATCAGTAAGGTTCTTGTGAATTTTCTTAGTCACTTAAGACAAACATATGGCTAGGACAATGAAATGACCCACAGCATCTTCTGCATCCTTCAGATGACAACTGGCAAGAGTATATGCTGTAAGAATAAAAAAGTAAAAAAAAAAGAGTAAAGGTATCCCTGTAACAGGCCATGGAGGCCCATAGGGTTGTGAGATATTGAGTTTCCCACATTTTCTAGACAATCGGCTCATAGATGGCGGCAAGGTTGTCAGCCCTACACACCAGCTGCCC